AATCATATTGACCGATGCCTAGGGTAATCAGCACGATCAAGCATGATAAGCCAATCAAAGCCAGTTGTGTCCAATTGTACTGTGTCTAATCGGAGGTGTTTCGATCTTTCTAACGCCTTCGACGACGTTATCCCCTCTGTCCTCATTTCAGATCTTGTTGACCTAGTCTTGCCTCCTACTCTATGTCAATTTATTTACTCTCTCATGCTCGTAGACTTCAATTTGTAATTAATGGAGAAATTACTGACGCTACACTTACAAAAGAGTCCCTCAGGGCTCCATACTCAGTCCCATCCTTTTTAACATATACGTATCAAAACTATACAAACATATAGGCGAAGACTGCGAATTAGTCCAGTTTGCTGACGACGTCGCTATCTTTGTCAGCTCTCGTCACATTGAAAAAGCTCCTACAGAGCTTGAAACCGCGGCAAATAAAGCTGCCAAGTATCTCGTTTCTAAAGGCCTCACAGTTGCACTCAAAACCTCCTTAATTGTCTTCACAAAGAAACACGTAAATCTTTTGCTTTCTCCGTTAAATTTGCAAACTCCACTGTTTAATCAACTGACTCTCATAAATTCCTTGGAATCTCTCTTGATTTTCACCTTTCCGGCCACAATCATATCCGCTCTCTTTCTACCGCTGCTCGAAACTCCTTAATATCCTCAATATGTTGAGGGGCACCTGGTGGGGAGGATCGCTTTCATCCCTCCTGAATATTTACAAAGTTCTGATAAGGGGTTCCATGGAATACCTCATGGATGCCTCACTTTTTCCTTCAATAATCACTCCTCCATGCGCCTTCTTGAAAACATCCAATTACGAGCCCTTCGCGCATGCTTAGGTCTGCGTAAAACTACTCCTACGAATATTGTCCTCGCGGAAGCCGGGGAGGGACCCCTAAGATTCAGATTCGAACTACTTATCTCCAAATACATTTTCAAAATTTTTGCCTTAGACTCTCACCCACTCATAGACAAATTGTTCGCACTTATTTGGTATTCGCGTAGATCTCGAAAGACTAATCCCTCTGAAAAATTCCTTTTGTTTAAATCCTTTAGCTCTCTTCTTTGTTTAAAATCTTATATTACGAAATTTGACTATCCGGCAGTCTACTCTATAGATTATAATGCTCTTATTTTTCTTCCTACAATAACTATCACGCCTTCAATCGAAGTAGAAAGAATCAAAAATGCTTCCATTCCTCAAATCGTCTTCATGGAAATCTATAAAACGGTAATTTCCTCCTGCACATGTTTTTACACTGACGCTTCAAAACCAACGACTATGTAGGATTCGCTGTATATTTCCCCTCTCCTCACTTGCAACTATTATTTAGAACCTAGTCCTACTCATCCATCTTCTCTGCAGAAGCCCTCGCCATTGTCTACACCCTTGAACATATACTCCTCAAATCAATCAAGAAATCCGTCATCTTCACTGACTCCAAAAGTGTTACCGAAGCTCTTCTCTCTGTTAACCTGGCTCACTCTTACAACTACTTACTTACTACGTTATTTTTGCCATCAAACAAAAGCTTTATGACATAAAATTGGCTGATCTGGAAAATACCATCGTATGGATCCCGGCACACACAGGCATGAGGAATGCCTAGGGAATGAAACCGTCGATCACTTGGCAAAAAGAGCCATCTCCATAGGAAAATTAACTGAAAGACAACTTCCTCACTCTGATTTCTTCTCCATTCGTCAAAGAAAGTACATCGAAAGCTTTTCTAGACTACTCAAGATACAAGGTAGACACAAGGGAGTGAAGTACTTTACTTCCTTTAGCGAAATCACATTAAAACGAGACACCTCCGATTAGACACAGTACAATTGGACACAACTGGCTTTGATTGGCTAATCGCTTGATCGTGCTGGTTACCCTAGGCATCGGTCGATATAATTGGCTGTGTCTAATCGGGCAATCCCCCATTAAAACCCTGGTTTCACAAGCTCAAGTCCAACAGAGAGAGCATAGTAACTTGCTGTAGACTCAGGAGTGGCCATTACGTCCTTAATCACAGTCTGAAACGCTGCAATCTGGTTTCAGACTCCTCCTGCCAATGGTTTCTCCATCCAAGATGCGGATCACATATTCTGGAACTGCCCACTATATGATATACAGAGGATAACTCTCTTAAAACAGCTATCAAGATTTAAAGGAATAACACGACCTTACAGGATTCAAGAGATTTTAGTTAAGCCTTTCTCTGGGGTTATTCATGTACTACTCTCCTTCCTAAAATCCTGTAGTCTCCAACTCTGAACGGAGCACCCTCTATACATACTACCCATGGACGTAAGAAATACAGGACAGAGCATAAAATATTCTTTTAGACTTTAGAGGGAAGTGAAGCCTGAAGGGTAAGGGGTTTTTTGTCGCAGCCATCTTAGATGCCTCAAATGTAGCATCTATTTTCACGTCGCACGGACGTAAATCGAATAAAATATGAGAGATTCCGTGAAATCATCTATCATTTGAAATCGCTGTGTTATTCCGAATCATTTCTGAATATTAAGGAATTCAAAATATCACACTTCGTGAAATTAATATCCGTCGCCATCTTACATCCCTCATATTCCGTTGCAGTAGACATTTCTTTCTCCTCACCCTTTGAGCTTCATCCCCGCAGCAATACACTGTGTCCTGTATTTCTTACGTCCATGATACTACCTTTTAACTCACTATACTATTTTCTCGCTCAAATCAGTTGTTGGCCTGAATATACTCATCGCTTCTGGCCATAAAAATTAGAAGTGGCCATAAAAATTCAAAGACGAAAGAAGAAGCGGCGGAGATCTGGCAGCTTTGTTCTAAAACACTATAATTAAGTTAGTTTTCATTAAGTACTTTCCAAGTTATAATGCTTGAAATCGTTTCTTAATTTTACATAAACCGTAAAATATCTTGTAAAATATTCATTTTTCGATTACCTCACCTTAATACTTTTATGTACAAAATAATGAGAGGAATCAATTGGTGTAAAGAAAACATATATTACTACATATTTTTTCTTAAAAATAACTTTTCTTTATACCAATTAATTCCTCTCATTATTTTGTACATAAATGTATTAAGATAAAATAATCAAAAAATGAATATTTCCCTTACGAAAAAGAACTATTACACTGATTACACATAAATATTACTAATAATTACATAGGAATATTACTGGATATCACAGGAAATATTATTGGATACTACAGAAAATATTACTGGATATTACAGGAAATATTACAGGATATCATAGAAAATATTATTGGCAATTACATAGAATGTCAATAATTATTTCGTACCACTGCCGAAATATATTACTGCCAAAATATATTATTGTCAAAATATTACTGCCTGAATAAAAGAGGCTTTTTGGAATAATTTCAGTAGTTACTGATAAGACAACAATATTTTAATAATGATTTCCAGTTAATTTTAAAAGAAAATTAGTAAACACAATGACCAAAATATATTATTGCTATTTTTTCACCACTGAAATAGCAGTAAATATAATGGTGATTGTGTCCAATAATTTTCGTTTTAAAATTAATTGAAAATTATATTACTAAAAACATTGTGCCTTATTAGTAACTACTGAAATTATTCCAAAAAGCTTCTCTTCCATAGGATGTCACTTTGTTTTTTTAACATTGTAGAAAAATATTTATTGCAGAAAGTATGGAACATTAATTTTTAAACATTAAAAAACGTTCAATAAAATTTTTTTTTAATACTAAAAGCAATAACTTATATTAAATATATAAATAACTTATACTACATATTTACAAAACATTTATTTAATCAAATATATATTATTTATATATAAAAAACCTATATTATTTGTATCTTTGCAAACATATTTTGCTGTCTTATTTGAAGAAAATATTTAAAACTTTTAATATAAAAAAAATTTTTAAGTTTTTATATTTGCAATAATATTTTCAATATATCCCTGCTCATATTATATAATAGAATTAATCATGAGCAACATCCTGTAATATCTGCGTGTAATTCGTACTCTCAGTAGTTACATATGCAGTGATCTTTCCAGTGATATCCAACAGGCGAGTAATATCTGTCTGTATTCCGTTGCTAGTAATTATTATAGAGGCAATAATATTATTAATATTCGCCTTGATAATTACAGAGCCACCAGTAATAATCACACAATCGCGTGTAATAATTACACGGCTGGCAATAGTTCTTTTTCGTAAGGGTTTATAAGATATTTTACGGTTTATGTAAAAGTACTCGGAAAGTACTTATTAAAAACTAACTTAATTATAGTGTTTTGGAAATCTTTCGAGATAACCTACAAGAATATGTAATAAAATATAAGCGATTCTATTTAAAAAATTGGGTGACCTTCACGTGACCTTCAAGTAACTATTTAAAGTCAAATTAACGATATCATCTTATGTCTCCTTTAAAGTCATATAATTTTTGTCTGAAACATTTTTTCGTATCTCGCATTTGTTTTTAAATATTTTCCTTTAATGTTAACATTAAAATGAATCACCCTATATATGATTCGTTGCATTGTGCTGCATATATTGTAATTAATACCAAAATTAAAAAAACATATTGTAGAAAAATAAAGAATCTTATAACATATCACAATAAAATGATACATTTGAAAATCAAACTTTATATACATTAGTGGCATATTTTAATAGATTAGCATCTTAATTAATTCTATTTGTACTAAATTTGTGATAATTATTAGTTTTTATATATTGATATATGTCAAAGATTTTTCCCTATATTTTAGTCAAAAGTTCTGTTGCAAACATCAAATTCATAATTTCGCAATTTTCTATAATTACTGAATCATCTTTTGTATTGAATGGTGCAAATCAATTTTATATATGATTTACATTACGATTAATCTTAATCTTAAACTAGAGAAAAGATATAAGAACTGAAAAAGATTAATATAAAATTATTGAATGTACATTATATTTACATATCTAAATATATAATAGCTAAAAATACTTTTACAATATAAAAGTGATGTCTCCTATTTGTCAGGTAATAAGACACATTTTCATAAAAATATATTGTATATATGTACCTAAAAATATATATTAAATACTACCTTTTTTCATAGGAATACTATCAAGATAGATTATATGATTGCAATATTAGGCAATTGTGCAGTGAACGTCAATAAACCTCAAACATTTCGTCAAATTCAAAATTTTTACATCTTATTAACTGTTTTTGTATATTCTGTTTTTTCTTAATTGCATGTTTTTTCATTTTGTACTTTTGTACAAAAATCTGGAATAAAATTTATCTAACAGTTACAACAATAAAACATAAATTAAAGCCCATTTTGGAGAATATTGAATGCGGCTCCTAATGCCCAACTTAATTCGTGACCACTGATCTTCTTGTAAAGCTGCAAGATAAAAATGTTTTGTTATCTTTCAAAATATTCTCAAATGACGAAAATGATAACATAATACAAATGTTATTATAGTTACATATAATTTAGTTGTTGGTTCCAAACTAAATCCATCTCTTAACAAAATATAAATAAATGTCAAATCTAAACACATGAATGGTTGATCTGTATTTGGATAGTCACATGTTTCCATAGCTTGTTTTAAAAATCCATTTAATTGTACAATTCCACCCAAAAATGGATCTATTAGTGCTACCTAAAAATCAGTGTGTGTGTGTGTGTATAATATATAAAATTTTTCATATTTTATCATAACTTATAAAAGTTGATGTTTTATTTAATATTCTTATAACTAAGAGAATATTTCTATTTTTTATAATTGTTACATATTTTTATTTCATTGAAATCTTACTTCTGTTGCACGTTCAAAATAGTATGAAAATGCATATATTTCATGATCTTTTAAGCCTATTGGTTTGTCCGTCAGAGTATTAACATATTTTTTAATGATTTTTGAACATTCCGAAAAGCGTACAATTGGTTTATTTTCATCTCCACCAGCGAAGTTTTGAGTTTTGATTAGTTTGTATGTGCCATTTATCGGACCTTTCACAATATAATCACGTCCGCCGTACGACCATTCAGTGGATATGATCGGATTGATGCACTCAGAATGTATCTCTATAGGAAGCTTAGGATCTACAGTTTCCTGCAGATTCATGTCATAAGTTAATATTGCCTTTCTGGCAGCCATTAAACCCATGCCTAAGTAACTATGCGTATATAGGCTCATGTTATGATTTAATACATTGATGGAATATACATGTTTCTCCAATTGTTTTGCTTGATCATTATTTGGTTGAAATGTGATTTGTGTTGATCCTCCTCCAAGGTCTAATGCAGCCACAGTAGTTTGAGAATCAATTGAATTAAAACGATCAAGCAAGAAATTGACAGTGAACCAAGAGAAGATTCCCTCATCTGTGCCTTCCATTATAGAAATGGAATTTTTTGCAATCTGAAATCCAGACATTTGAAACAATTTTCTGCACTCTTCCAGTATGTTATTAGCTTTAGCTTCAGGTAACAATCTTAATCCTGCTGTGGCTTTCATAGTCAATAACGTGCGAGACCATTCAGATTGCGGAATAACAGTTTTTGCTTTATTCAAAAGTATAGTCAGAGATCTTGCAGCATCTTTTGGATTATCTGCAAATGAGCTTAAACCAGGTTTTATTTCACTATATAGCTCATTGTCTAATATTAAATTGCCATTGAGAATCGATTCATGAAAACTGAAAGCTAATACACGGCTACCAGTAGATCCAGCATCGATAACAACAACATAGAATGGTTTTTGTAAATTAAATGAGAATGCTAATGTGTCGATGGCTTTGCTACCTATTCTCATAGGTTTTAAATCATTTGCTATAGCTATATAACCTAGGAATAATGTGCCAAGCAACACTAGCATAGTAAAGTATTTTCTTCCTAGCTGATTAGTGGTTTTCTTTTGGTAGGATGCCAATTGATTATCTTGTTCCTCTTTATTTTCATTTCTTAGCTAGAAGCATAAAAACAACATTATTATATGAGAGTCTAGATTAACAAATTTCAATGCATCATATAAATTATACATTTTTACATAAATATATAATATAATATAAATATATAAATATATTATCAAAATGAGAAATATATTAAAGTGAGCAAAAAAATGCAAAAACCTTCAAAATACGACAAAGATAATAAAAACTGTATGTATATAAATGTATATATGTGTGTATGTATATATATGTATGTATGTATGCGCGCACGTGTGCGTGTGTGTATTATAAATGATAAAAATTGTATATACAAAACAAAATTATACGACAAATAAAAAATAGCTTCAAATGCAACAGAATAGTTTCTGTTAAGTCATTTGACACAATTTTCTCGGAAAATCTTTTCTACTTAATTAAAGCGAAATTTACAATGTATTTTATGAAAAAAATATATCTCTAATTAATATTAACTTCGTGTAACATTCCTTCCACTATTTCTATACTCACGAGCGTATTGTATTTAGTGCGACGATCTGCCGGAGACAGATGGGTCATGAAAAAATCGTTTGTTTTTTCTTTTTATTCGATAAGCTAATCGACGAAAAAATCGTCGCATCGCGTCAAATCGTGCGATTACGCATTCCCATATTTTTCTTTATTTCTGTGTAGAATGCATCGGATCTACTACATACATATGACAAGCACTGAACACGAGGTTTCTCATATGTAAAGCGATCATGTGATCATGTGATCAACGCGAAGAAAGAGGCATGTTCGAAATTTGAACAATTCCGATAGCGATTCATGTACGTACATATTACGTACAGTAGGCGCCAATAATGCTTTAATATATGAAATTGGTCGCTTTCGGGATTAAGAATGATTAGATATTATTAAGTTATTATTAGTTCGAATGCGACCAATTTCATATGTTAAGACATTATTGGCGCCTACTGTACATATTACGTACGTATTATGATAATTAACAAAATTAACATTACACCGATATGAAACATTATACCTGTGTGTAATGCACAACGAACGAATTTTGATAAAGAAATTTCAGTAGACAATATATTGATAAATTGTATAAATACCTTTCGATGCCGCACGTTCATGTTGGACCTATGTTGTATGTATGTACGACGACGGATGATCGAAATCCTTTTTCTCAAATTTTTATTAGCACTGGACAAACAGTATCAATGAAAATAATTGAGATAATCAAATGAAAAAAACACATAAAATGTCAAGAGATGATATTAGTAGAGAGATTACGCGAAATCCATTGCAAACGATGACGAACTACGATAAAATTAATGGAATTGTACATATATATATGTATATGTATATACGACGCGGTTCAAGTTGTTTCTTCTTCTATATGATTGATTAGGCTCCTAGAATTCGCCTATATGGCAGTTAGTGTTCGAATCGTTTAAGTTTATGCCTGTGCAGATGATACGTGTCCGATACATACTGATGTGTGAGGGTTATTCATGACATGCAACATTGGACTAGATAGCATGTGAAACTTCTTTGAAATACTTTGAACTGTGAGCGATGACGTTTTATGTTTTGGACAAAGGTGAATAGAAAGAGAACGAGTTATACTCCGAATTATATATATATAATAGTTGGTATATAGGGTGTTCCTAAAATGATTATTTATTTTGGTGAAATTAAAGATATTTTAAAAATTGTTATACCTATACTATTATACGGATATATCCAAATGTTATGCAAATTCACATATATTTATAAAAATTTAATTGCTTTATATGATTTTTTGTTAATTTTTTAAATTTCCTTTTCACAGATTCATAATTAAATTAAACCTAAATTAAATTAATAAAATAGATATTTTGTTTACATATATATTCACGTCTTAAAGAGAGAGAGATATTTTTTATAATTTTTATCATTTCGCAAAAAAGATAATCACTTTTTTTAGGAATACCCTATATAGTTGAAGGAATAATGAGTGCCTATACATGCGCAACATCACGTGATCGCGGTGCTGATGTGAGAATGAAAGACATATATATTTAGCACGAAACTTTTACGTAATTCATAATAGCAGACTGATTGCAGATTAATTAGACTGTAAAGGAAACTTATTTTATTATTGCCCTATGAGCTTGGTTTGATAATGGTTTCTCTATTTCAATTGTCTTTACACGTTCAAAATCTGAATGTTAAAAGCAGTTGTACATACTTGTATATATTTGTGTGAATGTCGCAGAGAAATTGAAAAATTATTGTCTAATCACTTAATTACGCAATGCAGTTAGATAACACATTGTCAGTTTATAAGGAGTTGTTCACTAGTAAAATTAGTAGATTTATTAATTTATTTATCGCATTTGTTGTGAAAACTATACATTCACGTTAATTACGACCTCTATTGATTTACTGAACGTAAGTAAATATAATAGAAGCATTATTACTTTTACAATATTATATGTATAGATGTTTAATATAATTGATTGCAATACTATCGTAAAATATGTTGTATGTTACTTAATGCATATAAGAGTATATATTTAAAATTAGATATTATTATTAGTCAAGTTTTATTTTTGAGATTGTTAAAAAAAATTTATGCAATAAATTGAAAAAAAAATTTTTTTATTAAAAGATATTAAAAAGGTTATTATATAGTTTTATATCCACATTAAATAGAAATTATATCGGTTTTATTATACTTTAATATAAAAAAAATGTTTCAAGACATAAATTTTATATACATATATATATATATATATATATATATATATATATATATATATATAATATAAATGTGTGTATAAGTGAGTGTGTGTATTTATGTATGTGTGTGCATATATTTATACATAACTTATAGGTCTGATTGCATCAATGTTATTTTTACTTTAGACAAGACTTGTCTGTCTGAAATATGTCTATCTCTATTTAAAAAAAAATAAAGATAGACATATTTAAATCTTGCTTAAATTCAAAATATAATGTTGATGCAATCTGGTCTTAGTCTTGTATAATAAAATTTAAAAAAAAAATAACATGAAAATAATGATTCATAATTTTTTTGTCTAACAGTAATAGTAACAGTAATAGTAACAAATTATTTTAAAGTAACTTCTTATAAAATTCTGCTAATAATAAAATATATATTTTATATATCATGATTAATTTAGTTAAGGATATATTTTTAAATAAAATTCACAAAAAATTTATGTAAAATGTGAATAAGTCAATCATTGTATTAAAAATTAAATTCTTTCCTATATTAAAAAATAAAGTTTAATTTAGCAAACGTTTTAGGTTTAAATATTTTCCAGATTTTTTATGGATACAATATGAACAGTATGAACACATGCCACTTATCGAGATGAGATTTTAGTTGTGAAAGTAAAAGAAGGTTTACAAAATTGTGTGCATACAAGCACTAATTCAACTCACTAAATTATTTCTCTTTCTCTCTCTCCCTCTGAAGAAAAGAATATATTTTATTCGATCTGTCAAAATAATAAGGATAAATAATATAAAATAAGGAACTCTGAAATGCAATAAATAAAAACTGTAAATATCACTATTTTTTACATAGCATAGAATATCATACTATTAATAATTTTAATTCAACAATCTAAGAATAGAAAAAATTAAGTTACATTATTTACTTTTAAATATACAATACAATATACACATGTTTGTATTTATTTCATATATATATATATATATATATATATATATATGTATAAAGCAAATATCTAACATAATATAAAGTTATACATTACATTATATTAATGAAAATAATTTTGATTATTTATTTTATATATTTTATATCAATTCTTTTAATGAGATTATGAAAATGGCATATTCCACCAAAGATAATATTCTAAAAGAAGCTGTTATCCAAATATGTGCTGGAGGATCAGCAGGTTTTATTGAGGTTTGCATGATGCATCCAATGGATCTTGTTAAAACACGTTTTCAGCTTCAAGTAAAGACAGCAAAGATGGATCCATTGTATTATACAGGTAATATTAGTATATATATATATATATATATATATATATATATATACATCTTTAAACTTATATTAAACATTTATCTTGTGTAATATAACAATATTTATATTAAATCATGTATTTTTCTATCTAATTCTCTCTCTTACTTTATATACTTTATAAATACACACATACATATATATACCCAGCAAACACAGAATACTGCAGCAATATTGCGGCAATGTAGCTGCAATATTTTGGTTGGGTAGATATATATATATATATATATATATATATGTATATATATATATATATATATATATATATATATATGAGTGATATATATATATATATATATATGTATAATCAAGTAAATAGTAATAAAGTAATAAAAAATCACATATATATATATATATATATATATATATATATATATGTGTGTGATTTTTTATTATTTTATTACTATTTATTTGATTTAATCCTTTTTGCCTGTACATAAGAAGTAATACGGTTATTACCTTGTGTACATTATTTATTATATATATTTATTATATATTATTTATTACATTATATTATATTATTATTATTAATATGGTTATTACCTTATGTACATTATTTATTATATATATTTATTATATATTATTTATTACATTATATTATTATTATTATAAAAATAATTATTATTATTATAGGAATTATAAATTATTATTATAGGAATTTGTGATTGTATGATCAAAATGTATAAGACTGAAGGACTATCAGCATTTTGGAAGGGAATTTTACCCCCGATAATTGTAGAAACTCCTAAACGTGCAGTTAAAGTAAGTGCTTATTTGATTTTCAGATTTTTTTATGTTTATAAAAATTACAATTTTTTTTAGTTCTTTACATTTGAGCAATATCAACAATTTTTCTTATTTGGTGCCAATGCACCTACTCCATTGGTAATTATCTTAATTACAGTTATTAATATATAAAATTTCTATAATTATTTGTAAGACAAACAAATTTACATCATTATAGACATTTTCGTGTGCTGGTTTCCTTGCTGGTGTTACAGAAGCTATATTAGTTAATCCTTTTGAGGTGATCAAAGTAAAACTACAATCTAATCGAAAGCATATCAAAGAAAGTCCATCAACTTTTGCAGTGACAAAAGAAATAGTTTCAAAATATGGTTTTGGTTTAAATGGTCTGAACAAAGGGCTTTCAGCCACCATAATGAGAAATGCAGTGTTTAATTCATTTTATTTTAGTTTTTATCATTCTGTTAAAGGATATGTACCAGTTAAAAAAGAATCTCCTTGGTTGGAATTTTTGACTAAAGTAATCACAAAATAAATATATGCATCTGTTTTTTATATGCAATATGTTATATATATGAAAATTATTTTAGATTATTATAGGATTTGTATCAGGCACTATTGCTTCTTGCCTAAATATACCATTTGATGTTGCCAAGAGTCGCATTCAGGGATCACAAAATGACATACAGTATAAAGGAACATTGAATACCATGTACATTATTTACAAGAGAGAAGGGTATTTATTTATGCATGTAATTTATTTATTGCTAAAATTGTTTACATTTCAGTGTTATTCTCATATATATATATATATATATATATATATATATATATATATATATGTATAATATATTTCTAGTTTCATAGCCTTATACAAAGGCTTAGTACCAAAAGTATTAAGATTAGGTCCAGGTGGTGCCATTATGCTTGTAGTGTATGAGTACATGCATGCATTTCTTACCAAAAAATTCAAAGATTAATTTTTATATATTATAAAAAGTTATGAGGCTAAGGAGGTAATAAGTCATTTTTTAAGAAGATGCATTTAATATAAACATATATATATATAATATAAGAAATCATATTTCATATTTTGTGTCAAATATATTTTCTTTTCCTAGTTTTAATTTATTTTTATTTTTTACTCTTTTTTCTTATTTTAGTTTATTTTTATATTTCAACACAATATAGAAAAAATTAATCATTTAAAACAGTATCTAGCCATTTTTCTAAATCAGTTGGTTTAATTGGAGCACTTTGTGGTTTTATTTTGGAATCTGCAATTAAAAAATTAAATATTTTATATAATTTTACAAATATGAATTAAAAACCAATTCTAATATAAATACAGGGAGGAAGGTGTGGAGGGAGGACAAGGAATGTCACTTATATTTAATTTGAAATTTTACCATTATGAGATGTAGAAATAAGTTGCGAAATCGTTGGATTATTCTGGATTGGTTCTTTTAAGGATAATAAAAATTCTATCTCTTTTTCTAAATTATTGATATTATCTTCTGATACAAATTTCGTATTTTCTATAGACTTTAAATTTCTCGACTGATCAGTCTTTGTATTCTCATCCATCTCACTTTTTGAAAATATGATATTCAATGAACTCGATATGTTCGGAGAAAAAGTTGTATTGTAAACAAGCTTTCTTTTCTCAGCATCATTATTGATATTTGTCAATTGATCATTCTAAAAGTGATCATGTATATGTAATTATTCGTTTAACTGAGAAAATTAAGAGCAGATATTAAATGTATAAATAAACATTTTTTTTAAATTTAATGTTTATTAACAAAATAAATATGTACAATTTATGCATTTATCAAATTTAATCAAATAATTTCAATCATTTTCTAGCATTTATTTCTACTTTCACATTTACTTTCACTTTCAGGTAAATAGATTTTGAATTAATAAGTTTAGTTTTTACTTGCCATGAATTCATCAAGCCATTTTTTTACTCTTGACCAGTAAAATTCTAAAAATATGCTTGATCACTTTTGCACAATATTGGGTAATATCAATAATTATATGTAAAAATTTAACTAAAAGGCAAGGATTTTTAAAGGTTTTCTTCTAACTCAAATAAAGTAATCAACAATCATAGCAACTGTAATTACTATTTTGTCAAGTTACAGTTCATAGTAATTCATGATAAATTATATCCTATCTTACTTGATTTTGTGTGGTAAAATTGACTAAGTATATTATTGGAATTTGGCTGGATTCTTTTGACCTACTTGACATATTCATTGGATATAACATCTTCAGATTGTCTGTTTTGATCAATGGAATATACCTTAGATGACAAAAAATTTACAAGTATTGAGAAAATAAGAAAATAGTATGATAAAATCATTACAAGATCAGATTTATTAACAATCATAAATCCATAATTTATCTAAAAGATAAAACTGCTGGAAAATAATAAGAATTATTTTCATAGTTGAACTGTACATATATATTTTGTTTATACCTATGAGAAATTCAATACTGTATACAGTATTGAATTAGTGATAAACTTATCTATATATACTTACCTATATATAAGTACTTACTATGAAATACCTGTTATTTACGTTAATATATTCATTGAATGGAATACAATCGATCGTGACTGATAATGTTTTCAAGTTTAAGGTAAAAAATTCCGAGTATTGTGATGAGTCGACAGACCACGCTTTTTCGGATTTGAAAACGAAATGTCCATTTTTTGAAAGTGGTGCATTTATGAGAGTGTCAAAATCTTTGCCTACATCTTCATCGGTTGACATTTCTACATAATTGGCGAAAGATGACGAAGGTCGTGATTTCTTTTTCTCTTTAGTTTTTTGCGTTTTCAAAGATCTTTCCATATTTCTCAATTTTCTTTTTTTCTTGCGAGCTTTTTCACTGAACTATATATAAAATATAAACTGGAAAGAGATTATTATGCTTAGTATTAGAGAGGGTCTGAGAGGGGCCACAGACTAAACACTAAACTGCGAACTCCTATATACTAAGGGTGCTTTCCAGCTATGGTTAGAGAACCTCTAGGAGAGAGAATGGACAACTGATCAAGCTTTTTCATGATTGGCTGGCAGAAAATGTATCAATTTTAGCTATTGCGACGCCAATGCACAATATGATGACACACACACAGTTAATATAACCTATTTGTGTCATGATATTTTGCATTGGCGTCGCAATAGCTAAAATTGATACATTTTCTACCAGCCAATCATGAAAAAGCTTGATTACATGTCACATGATCAGTTGTCCATTCTCTCTCCTAGAGGTTCTCTAGCTATGGTAACACAGTGATACACTGGGTGCTTTCCATTTAGCAACACAAGTCGACACAAGTGTCATTCTATCTTTGTTTATTGTTATTCATTGAAAAAAGATAGAATGACGCTTGTGTCGACTTATGTCGCTAAATGGAAAGCACCAACTGTGTGACACAGTGGGTCTGTTCTTTTCAGCTGCACTGCTACACTAGTGCAATTAGTTAGAGTGAAAGAAAGTATGTTTGTCTCTTTCTAACTTATTGCACTAGTGCAGTAGTACAGCTGAAAAGAACAGACCCAGTGTTACACAGTGTCGACTTGTAGCTGGAACGATTTTAGCTTTCTTATTTTGCCACTAGAGTGCAGGGCAGTCACTTTTAATAGTTGTCACTAGGTCTAAATTTTCAGAACGTTCCCACACAACATTATGTCATCTTAAAGACGTCTAGATGTCTTTAAGTCGTCTTTTTAGCGAATATAAAAGTTTGGTTATCTTCTATCACGCAATATCACGCAATACCATTCTTAAAAAAATTAATGATACCAAATATGAAATGTTATGTTGGCACTCACTGGGGTGCTACAAAACGACGACACAGGCGAACACAGCATTTTTGCTGTGTACGATTGTGTCGACTTGTGTCGTAGTTGGAAAGCATCTGTATCGACACTGTAGCGACACAGTGTCGCCTGTGTTACTTGCTGGAAAGCACCCTAAATTTACCCAATTTTTATGTACAAAACTAGCGCATGCGCCAAATAAGCTGACATGGAATATGATTTTCTGCTAACATGACATATTTTATAACGTCATAAGGTTTAGGGCACACAAAAATACGTAAGCAATAAAGGCTTTCGCACATGAATTGCCATAACCATAAACGTAAAAGTAAGCTGGTTGAAATCCTAATTACTTCTGCTTACGGCCAGCTTTATCATCATTTCTATCGTCTTCTAGGATACATAAAGCTAAAGTAATATTCTGATTGGTTCTTCAGCTTACGTTTACGTTTTACGTTTATGGTTATGGCAATTCATGTGCGAAAGCCGTAAAGGCTATAGCACATACTTTCCATAATGCGATGTCTACAATGAGATTTTAAGGAAACTTAAGGCGTAAGATTTAAGAAATTGACCAATCACAATCAAATATTCTCTTAATACTTGGCTGTGATTGATCAATTTCTTCAATCTTAAGTCTTAAGCGTCGTCTACAATAGGTGGAATAAGCGTGGCGTAAAAAGTAAGAGTAGAAGTAAAAGAGCTATTTCCGGTTTAAGAGAGCTGGAGTAAAGGCTATAGCACACACTTTCCATAAGACATAACAATAAGGTTTCGACCATTCACGTTGCTCAATTTGGTTACGGACGACCAAATTGAGCAACGCGATTGGTCGAAACCTTACTGTCATGTCTTATGGAAAGTGTGTGCTATAGCCTTAAGGGCGTAAGCAAAATGAATTATTTTTATTTCTTACGCCTACTCTTATTCTTACGCTTACACTCGATCAAAAGAGAAGAGCAGGAAGAAAACCCAGGAAGGTTAGAACATGAAAATGGAAGATCGCTCGAAAACGTCGTTAATTGCAAATGTGTTTTGCTATTGTAATTGCTTTATTAATAATTGTTTAACGTTTGACTGTCGGGATGGCAACGTCATAAACTATAGCATTACTTCACTGTATTGTAGATTGAGTCAGCGTAAACAGCTTATGCCGAAAACGTTACTCCTACTCTTACTTCTTACGCCAAGCTTACTCCACTTATTGTAGACGATGCTTTACGTCTTAGGTCTCCTTAAAATCTCATTGTAGACGCCGCTTAAAGGTCATTCTACAATGGCTGTAGCATAAGATTATAAAGCGTAAAGGCCTTTGACGTACAAACATTTTAATCGTAACCGTAAGGTCATAAGAAAACTGACAAATCATAGTCGAATATTCTTTCTGCGATGAAAGAATAATCAACTGTGATTGGTCAGTTTTCTTACAACCTTACGGTTACGACTAAAATTTTTGTACGTGCAAAGGCCTTTAAGCTGGTCGCACAGAGACACCTCCGATTAGACACAGTACAATTAGACACAACTGGCTTTGATTGGCTAATCGTGGTTGATCGTGCTGGTTACCCTAGGCATCGGTCGATTGGCTATGTTTAATCGTACTGTGTCTAATCGTGCAATCCCCGGTCGCACACACTTTCCATTCGATGTGCAATAAAGACAGAATGATGCTCACAGCGCGTAAGCGTACAAAGCGAACCCAGCCATAACAGTAAAGCGTCGTCTACAATGACAGTAGGATTAATAAATTAAAGCTGTAACTCAAGAAATTGACCAATCATAGTCGAGTATTCTTTAGATGCTTGACTGTGATTGGTCAATTTCTTGAGTCTTACGCCTTACAATTATGCTATTGTAGAATGACCTTTAGGACCTATCCAGCATATACATAGTACTCCTATATTGCCAGCTCAGTAAGAGGAAAGAGCGAAAACATTACGGTGCAGACGATACCTTCTCTCTCGCACAGTTAATCTGTTTTAACACATGCTTAATATATATATAGTATATATATGGTGTATATATATATACAGGGTGACCCATTTTAACTTAGGCAGCCAAATAACTCGAAAAATAAGCACACTACGAAAAAATGGTTAGAATCAAAATTTCGTCATTTCGAGGGGGACGTACAATGACGTTAAAATCAGCCCCCCATCCCTCCTTCTGGGCGGTGAGGGGGGGCAAGTTTGAAATCTTAAATGGAACCCCCTATTTTTCATTGCATATTCTTGTAGCTTATCTCGAGAACTTTCCAAAACACTATAATTAAGTACCTTTTTATTAAGTACTTTTTGAGTTATAAGGCTTAAAATAATTTCTTAATTTTACATAAACCATAAAATATCTAGTAAACCATTCATTTTTCGATTATCTTACCTTCATACTTTTATGTACAAAATAATGAGAGGAATCAATTGGTGTAAAGAAAACATACAGTTGTTTTTAAGAAAAAATATGGAATTGTTAATTGCAAATTACATATTTTTTCTTAGAAACAACTATGTGTTTTCTTTACACCAATTGATTCCTCTCATTATTTTGTACATAAAAGTATGAAGGTAAGATAATCGAAAAATGAATGGTTTACTAGATATTTTATGGTTTATGTAAAATTAAGAAATTATTTCAAGCCTTATAACTCAAAAAGTACTTAATAAAAAGGTACTTAATTATAGTGTTTTGGAAAGCTCTCGAGATAAGCTACAAGAATATGCAATGAAAAATAGGGGGTTCCATTTAAGATTTCAAACTTGCCTCCCCTCACCGCCCAGGGGGAGGGGTGGGGGGGCTGATTTTAACGTCATTGTACGTCCCCCTCGAAATGACGAAATTTTGATTGTAACCATTTTTTCGTAGTGCTTATTTTTCGAGTTATTTGGCTGCCTAAGTTAAAATGGGTCACCCTGTATATATTTGACGCATGCGCAAAAGTGCTAAAACAGACTAACTGTGCGAGAGAGAAGGTATCGTCTGCACCGTAATGTTTTTGTTCATTCCTTCTACTTGAACTGGCAATATAGAAGTACTATGGGTACGTTCCAAAACGTACTCTCCGAGGAAAATTTTACTCGCTAGCCGTTCCGAAACTCTTTTAAGCATTTCCGATTGGTTCAAATCAGCCATCGAGTAAAATTTTCCTCGGTTACTTGCGTTTTAGAACGTAACCTATATATATGGTTGTAGGTAAATTGGCCAATTATGGTTGATTATTTTTGAAATAATCGACTATGGTTGGTCAATTCTCATGATTTACGACTTGCGACTTAAGCCAGTGGCACACGGTGCTATTTTATCTGCTGGATTGCTTGCGTGCACCAGTGATGGCAATCTTGCTGTTTACTAGGCTGGAAATCTGTCTGTGTTAGTTACTTTACTGACTGAGGGCCTCCGCACAAGGTGTTCCGTATCGCATTACGTTACGTTAAGTATAGATTGTAAGGGCCTCCGCACAAGGTGTTTCGTATCGCATTACGTTACGTAAAGATATGTCTTTATGTTACGATTTTTTCTGTGCGTTGACTGAAGTTTAAGTTTACGTACGGAGTTAAATTTATGATCTATACTTAACGTAACGTAATGCGATACGGAACATCTAGTGCGGAGGCCCTGATCTGCTGGATTTCGATGATAGAACAGGTGCTATTTTTCTTGTCTAATTGGCTGCGTTCAGCAAGCGCAACGGTTGTACAACGGTTGACTAAAAAGCTGCTGAACGCGCTGTGATCAAAACCCGATGCTCAACGTGTTTACTGAGCGGACGCCATTTTTTTCAGCGCATTTCAAGTTCGCTACCTACGCTCAATATATTGCAATGATTGCAAGATGTAAGTGATATAACCTAAAATAACAGATAACCTAAAATAACAGAACCGTTTAACAATTGGCAACCGCTCACTCAACGGTTGTTGTAACGTGTTGCAATTAGTTGAGACTTGCTGAACGCAGCCATTCTGTGTTAGCTCATTGTGAGAGCCAATCAGAAAGCTATTAGGTTATGTAAAGATGGAGGGGAATATGAGCACCATAGACATAGTAAGTATAGATCGAGCATCCATTGTATAAGCGTTAAGCATACGAAAAGAAAGACAAAGTTGTAAGATGAGTTTCTTTCTCTTTTCAATGCCGGATAAGTGGGGAGCACTTCTCCACATCTTCTCGCGCCGGTTCGTCATGGAGGGGCGAAGAGATGAGGAAGGGAGCGTC